GGGGAGGGAGGGAGGAGGAGAGGAAGAGCAGAAATTAGTAGGAACTAAAAGGAAGCCACTGAGTGCCACATTTTTCAGTAACTGCCATCCAAAATACAACCTGCAGTCATTGATGTCCATAACATGCAGTATTCTCACCAAAACACAGTTTTGGGGAAGTTGAGCAGGGAAAGAAACAAAAAGAACTAGGACCTTGGATGCTGTTGTAGAACAGAGAGACTTAGGGGTTCAGGTACATAATTTCTTTGAAGTTTGCATCACATGTAGATAGTGTGGTTAAAAAGGCATTTAGCATGCTTGCCTTCATTGCTCAGATCTTTGAGTATCGTAGTTGGGATGTTATATTGAGGTCCAGGATGTTGGTGAGGCTTCTTCTGGAGTATTGTGTCCAGTTCTAGTCGCCCTGGTATAGGAAGGATATTATTAAGCTGGAGAGGGTTCAGAAGAGATTTACCAGGATGTTGCCAGGAATGGAGGGTTTGAGTTATGGGAAGAGTTATGAGAATATGTTGGGACTTTTTTTCTCCAGAGGATAGTAGGTTGAGGGCTGACCTTATAGAAGTTTATAAAATCATGAGGGGTATTGATAAGGTGAATGCAGGTGTCTTTTCCGTAGGATAGGGCATTTCAAGACAAGGGGCTATACTTTTAAGATAAGAGGAGAAAGTTTTAAAAAAGACATGAGGGGAATTTTTTTTACACAGAGTGATTCGTGTGGAATGAACTTCGGAAGAAGTGGTGGATGCAGCTACAGTTACAACATTTAAAAGTCATTTAGATAAGTACGTGAATAAGAAATGTTTGGAGGGATATGGGCCAAGCACAGGCAGGTGGGACTAGTTTATGGTCGGCATGGACTGGTTGGACCAAAGGGTCTGTTTCCATGCTATATGACTCTTTAACAAAGAGAGTGGGATAGCAGAGAACTTAGAGAAAAAAACAGGCACACAAAGGGAAAAGAACAACAAAAAAGCAAAATAATAAGCATCAGGCCTACTGCAAGCATGCCAGAGGAGATCAGATAGTAATATATGGACTATTTATATTGATTTGTATGATCATTACAGTACACGATTGCTTCAAACTGACAAATCAATATGGAATCAGAACATTGAAATATTTTTACTTATTCTTTGTTAATAGTGCTACTTGTTTTGACAATTGCAACACACATTGTGCGAATTGAGATTGTCTATCGGCAATCCTCCAAAATAAGGGTATCATGAATAAGAAAATAACATTAATGAAATATTTTGTATTACATTAAAAGCAAATGCTTTATCAAATTTTCTGCCTTTATCGAATTTGAGTGTAGGTTATTTAATTCATTTACCCAGTCCACATGCTCCAGAATAGATTTGTCTGTATGTCACAGGAATCCTGGATTTGTGCAGCAGAGGGCAGTTTTTTAAAGCAGAACTTGTAAAGGAACAAGATTTGCTACTGAATTAGAACGTTACAAATGGACTCGCACCTCATTCGTTTGGTCTGTCCTAAGAAGTAAGCAGTGGAACAAAATTAAAAATCATAGTAAATTTACCACACCTGGCTTTTGAAAAGCTGAACCAACTTCAAACAAGACTGATAACCTTTCAGTGGCAAGTCATTTTACTGTAGTCACAGTAGATTTTCTTTATAAAACTTGAAAAAATAGCAGATATTATCACAAACCTAAACTGATTCATTTGCAAATCTCATTTCATAACTAACTTGAATTTCAATTAGAATATTAAAGTCCTCTGACCTAGTTTCTGACTGCACCTTATGACTGTTGTCCTTGGGTCAGAGCTGAGTACAGTATCCAGTCTTTGTCCCGCTCTTGCGGTCACAGTGTTAAAGAGGCTGTTTCCATTTAGCTTCTGGTTAGTGGTGAGGGTGGTCCTCCCAGGATCAGTAGCAGGATCTTCTTGGCCTTGAGAAAAGTGGGAAATGGCAAATAAAATTGGGAAAGTATAGTGAGAATGAAAAATTCAAATTCCCAACCTCATCAAAAAATTTTCAATGTTCACCTCAAGTTTAAACAGTTCTGAATCTTGTCAATGAGCAACAATTACCTTGTTTCCATGCTTTTGCATCTCATTAATGGTTATTCTCACCTCGTTTCTATGAAGCTCATGACTCCAACCACCCCATACCCCCGAACCCTTCCCCAAGAAACTAGACAGCACCAATTCCCAAAGTGAATGTCCAAACAGTTATGTGATAGCACAGCCCCCCACCCCTCCCGCCTGTTTCTCTGGTCCTTCTCCAGTTGCAGCGGCACCATAATTTCATAATTTCATAATTCTGGTGCAGCATGAATGCCATCCTTTTACCCTTCAACCTCATCACCAAACCATCAATCTGACAACATCGTCATTGCCGTATTTGGACCAACTCGCACGTCACTTCAATCCTTCAGGACTTCACTTTGGATTTCCCGATACTTATGCCTTGCATGCTTCTACCAGTTGCTTTGTGGTAAACATAATTCAGCTGATCCCGTTGTAAAATATCTGCATTTTACAGATCCTCATTTGAGAGGCAGCAGCAATCAGTGAGATCGGGCAGTGTGACATGGCATGCTGCTGCAATAAGGTAGCTTTTAAGGCTTGGGGTGGTGAAGTCCAAAGCGGAACTATAGCGGCAGAGAGGAGAAGATAGACTGTCTTTAAGTGATCTTTCTTTATTTTTTATTTTAAGTTAATGAGAATGGTGACATTTATATTGAATACACATGGCAATAAATGATTCAATTCAATTTGAATGCATTGCAGTGTCTCATGTTAGACAGCATGCTGGGATCAATATGAGGTACCTCCTTTACACCTTCCGTCATCAGTTGTCCTTCAATATTTCAGAGTTTGTACAAATTGCTAAATTGCCCTGAAATGCTCAAGCATCCTGTAGGACAGTATTTAACCTGAGTGAGGCAGCACTTTGTGCAGCTCCTCTCAACAAGCCATTGAACTCCCCCGTTGTATACTTCCTAGTCTGGAATGGCAGAAGTCTCCGTTCCTAACAGTTGAATATAACATTGCCTGCAAAGGTATGTGGAATCATCACTTATTCTGTCCTTTCACTCATAGTGTAGATCTAAATATAGATGAGCTATGTACGACAGTGCCTGTCACAATACTTGCACATTGCTTGTAGCCTCACTGTTGTCAGCATTAAAATGCAATGACTTGGCTGGAGCTATTGATGTCATGGATCAATGACTCTGATGTTATCTGTAGTCAAGGAGTTGGATGAGATGAGCAAAGTTGTTTACATTACAAATTCCTTAATAAATTCTAAAGGAATTGTTTTGCTGATAGTTTTAAAATCCATTTCCTTTCCTACTTCATCCTTTTCTGAGGATTCATTAGTCATTTCTACTACTGCAGTTGGTCTCCCATTTGGCTTCCAACAATTGGCTTTACTATGACCAGTCTTATTACAATGGAAGCATATTATTTTCTTTATAACTTTTCTTCTTTATTTTGACATTCTTTTGTTTTATGCCTATAACTAATAACCAGTCTTTCCTCCTTTACTCAAAGTTTTTCTCTCTCCAAACCATACTACTTAAGTTCTCTCCTACTTAGATTAAATATTTTTAAATTGTAGTTTCTTTTCCATTGCTTTTTAAGTTCTCTTTCCATTTCTCCTGTTCTCTCTTCTTCCTCTAACTCTTTTTTTTTTCATTTCTAACAATCTGAATTGATTCTAGTTGTGACACATTAATTTCAGCTTTCCATCCTTTTAATTCTAAAGGCTAGAAAATCACTTTGTAGCATGTCATCCTTGCAAGATCGTGTTTTTATTTCTATCTTCAATTCATCTGCTCTTTCTCTCAGCTTAACTTTAGTCAAAGACTTCAAATGATCTGTTATGTCTTCTACTCCCAGAAAAGTCTTAGTAACAGTCAAGGTAATTTTGAAATATCAGTTTATATAAAATATTTCACAACAACATTCCTGTTTTATGTTGAGCACTCCATTAACCAGTTTCTTTACATATTCATATCTCCTTAGATTTAGTGAATTCTAACTCTGCCAGGAGTCACAGCTTTATTATGATCCCAGTTGATGGTAATGCTGGACAAGTGAGATTCCAGAGTGGAACCTGGTTTGATAGATCATAAGTTTTATTATTGTATTTAGTCCGCATGATGATTAGTCACAGAATAATTTCACTTAAGGCTGCCAATCTCGTAACAAAAGCACATAAGCTTATTACACAAAAGAAAAAGCAAGCAAAGATATATGCGTGAAAAAGTGGAAAGATCTTAACATAAGCAGCAAAAACAAATATTCAACCTTTATTTCTTAGCATTATCCTTTACAGTCACTCAATCCCAGTAAAGTATCATTACTTTCTTAACTTTAAGGTATCTTACTCAACTCTTTCCAGTGACTACTAAAACAGCTTTAATACTTCAGGGTTTGAGTGAAGATTTGTAGCTCGCGTGCTGGTTGTAGATGTTGGTGCGTTCGCCAAGCTGGAAGGTTTGGTAGCACACATTTTGTCCCCTTACTCGATGCTGTGGTGCCTCCTGTGAAGCACTGTTGTCCTGTGCCAGATCGAATTTACATGGTCTAGTTTTTGCTGCTTCCGGTAGGTGTCAGTTCCAGCTGTGCATAGTAATGGTTGGCATATCGGGTCTAATTCAATGTGTTTTGTTGATGAAGTCCACAAATGAATGCCAAGCCTCCAAGAATGACAAGCCAACCAGAGGACAGCCAGGGAATTGGAGGCTTGGCATTCATCAGCGGATGGCTTTTGAAACCAAATAGATTATTATTGATAAGCAACAGATAGACTAACTACATCCTAAAATTGATTTCACGGCCAATTGGCATCTTAACTTCTTTGTGGAACCTTTAAGTATGTAGTTTGTCGATTAAAGATCATAACAGAATTTTCCAAATTTTACTTAACAGACAGTAAATGAGAAAACAAATTTCTGCAACAATGGTGTACCAGTATAAAAGCATGTTAAGATGTTTAAGAGTTCATTTACTTTTAAATTCCAGGAGGATGAATTGGAGGCACAGGTCTCATTTCTTCAAGGACAACTAAATGATCTTGAGGCAATGTGCAAGTTTTGTGCTAAGATGATGAATGTGCATATATGTAAGTATTGGTTGTATTATTCCTGGGAAAAATAAACCTTATTATTGTGTACAACCCATTGATGTTTGTGATTGATGTCCACATTTACTTATGCTATTTCTCAATAACCATCACCTATTTTTGCTTTCCATTTCACTCCTCAGTTGCTTTATTTGTCTTAGACCTAATATATTAACTGGTAAGATAGGCACATCCAAATAATTATTCTGCTCACTAAATTGAGGCAGCTATATTTTATTTCCAATAGCATTACTTGCCTGACTGGTTTATCTTGTCTATATTTTCTGTGTTAGACAGTTTAATTGGTATTGCCTTATTGGTGTGTGTATCTCAATTAGAATACCAAATTATGTTATTAATGACAATTTGAAATGTGCATGAATTTAAGATAACAGTAAGTTAAACTTTATAACCTAAATAACTGTTCAACAGCATAGTGTTTGATGGATTTCATGGAATTAAGATTGTTTTGCTGATATAATACCTTAAATGGTGAATTTATTTAGTTACATTAAAAAATGATTTCTTTTGCTGAAAATATTTCTGAACTTGCTGTAATGCAGAATTATTAGTGCCCCATGAGAGGATTAAATCCAGATATTTCCTTTAATCAAATTTTAAATATTAAATTTTCAATTGATGGTATTTCATTGGCATATATCCATGCATTGCATCAAGCAGCTGATGATGTCCTGTGATATACAACAGTTTCATTGTTGAATTACAATTCAGTACAAGTTGCTGTTTCTACCAAATCCTTTTGTGATCACTACCAGTTGAAATATTTATAGATTCGTAGTGCTATTTTTCATATTATCAAAATAATTTAACAGCATGGGGTAATTAGTGCTGTTTTCAACAATTTCACCACATTTCACATTGCGAACATGTTCTCCCACTGGAGTGTGCTCAATTAAGGACTTGGAGTACATAATTCCTAAATTGATTTATGTGTCTGTCTCAAAGTTGACTGTGGCACATACCTTAAAAAATGACTGCTAATGATTATTTTCTGATCAAGGTCACTTTACTATACAGGACAAAGCTCTGCCACTATCTTATGACTCCTTACCTTAGCAATTAATCTCCACTGCAGGATCTTGTCAAAAAGGCATGAGCAATCTCGAGCTGAATACATTACATTTCCACTATGATGAGGGTAAAGTCACCATAGCCCTACTAGACCATAGGGCTGCTGTCTGTATAGAGTGATGACTGGTGGTGCTTTAACCTGAGGGTCACCATGCTTCAGGCGAGGGGAAAGGTTGAGAAGGAGAGTTCTTCATGGTAACCTCAGCCAGTGCAGGAATTGCCACTCTGCATTACAAACCAGCTATCCAGACAACTCAGCTAATATAGCAGTCATTCCCCTATGTCAAAAGCAGCTTCAAAATTTTTTGGGAGGGTGAGGAATTCAGTATGAGTTGTACTTTGAGTTTAACTGCAATATGTTATGTTGTAATGGCATCTGTGTGCATTATTCAACGACCTAACTTATAATTTATCAGTCCAAAATTCATGCAGAAATATATTGTTTGGTTCAGTGCCTGGGATTTGTTAAAATGATAGTTTCTTATTCACTGCTCAGAGAACCAACAGGGAAGCCCAACCAAATGATGTGCCTTTCAGCTATCTAATTGGCTTTCATGTGGCCTTCCCTGCAATTGAGGTCCTAAGCAGCACAATTCCCTTCCACTGAGCTGCCAGCCAATCAGAGGACAGCATTTGCCATTGCTGCCAGTAATATCTACTGGCTGCAGTGCACCATCCGAAGTCCAGGATCAGAGGGAGACCACAGGTCGCTTTAAAAGTGAGAGAGGGGGCTTGAGAAGGATCGGGGCAAGAAGGGGTCCCTCAATCCAGCACTGAGTGCTTCATTCATGAGGGACGAACCCAACCCTAACAGATCACTTGCAAACCTTAGGGTGGCACAATGGTTAGCACTGCTGCCTTACAGCGCCAGGGACCCAGGTTCGATTCCAGCCTCGGGTGACTGTCTGTGTGGAGTTTGCACATTCTCCCCGTGTCTGTGCTCTGGTTTCCTCCCACAGTCCAAAGATGTGCAGGTTAGGTGGATTGGCCATGCTAAATTGCCCGTAGTGTTCAGGGATGTGTAGATTAGGTGGGTTATAGGGGGATGGGTCTGGGTGGGATGCTCTGAGGTTCGGTGTGGACTTGTTGGGCCAAAGGGCCCAACTGTGGGGATTCTATGATGATTGATTCTATGAAACCTGACGGGTTTTGCTGGGCAACCTACCAAGAGTACAGTAGATCCATGTGGCCTTCATGTAATCCCTGAGCCATGACTAAGTTCAGTATTAACGGGTGTAAATTTGTTTATTAATGAGCTTAATTGACATCCATGCTGGAGTCCCAAGTTGTCACTTCCAACCTCCAACTTACTCTAGACAGGCTTTCCTGCTGCCAAAATTCTGATGTAGGGCGTCCCCAACTGACTGCATAAAATTCAACCCAGTTTCTCTGCTGTATCCGTGTTCCTAGTACTACTTTTTCTCTTAGAAATATATGCAACACAGCTGCTGAGGAAGATCCTGATATCCTAGTTATTACTGAGCTTAAAACAGAAATTGTTAAGTAAGTAAGCTTCAATGCTGTTGATAAATTACCAAATTCATCTATAAGACCATCTCACTTTAACTAGTATTCCTGTCATGTTTATGAATCTTTGGACCATTATTCCATTGAAAAGAAAAACTAAAGCACAATGTACACATGCAGGTTTCTTGATTAAAAGTCATAGATTTGGTTAGATTTTCTGAATGTGACTGAGTTGAGCTTTCATGTTTTTTGTTATCAGCTAGTAAGAATCAGTTTGTTAGCTGATTTTGAAAAATCATCAAGGTCCTCACTGACATAATGTTGAAATTTTTCCACTTTCCTGGTTGTGAGTAGAGAGACAAACACAATTATTCAGGCCCAGAAAAGGCCATAAGAAGGCCTTTGAAAGAATAAGGATAACTTTGTTTTAGTCAAGCGAAATGATCCACTGATATTTGGAAGGAGGAGACCAGGGTTCATATCCCATCTGCTTCAAAGGTGTGTAATCACATCTCTGAACAGCTTGAATAGAACTTTTTTTTACATTTTCTATTATTTTGTATCATTATGGGAAAACAATTGATACTTGTTGAAATAAGTGAATCCAATCATAAGTATTGCACATTAAGTCAATTCACAGTGAAATAGAATAATTGCATTAAGCAAAACTGCATTACTCAAAACGTACATTCCCATATAAACCAATGTAAATGTTTGGGTTATGAACCCAGACATCAAACAAATATAAAATACAAGCACAAAGTTAACATAAAACACCCAAATGGACATGAAAATGTACACAAAGAATATGTTTTAATGTTTCTTCTCTCATATACAAGGTTGCCTAGAGGTGCTTGACTGTAGATCTTAATTTGACTCTTGGCTAATTAGAAGACAGAATTGGGATAAGAGAGGTATTTCAGGAAAGCAACCTGTAACTAGTGGAGAGTCATGGGGATCAGTGCAGGGTAACAGTTATTTACAATATGTATTAATGACTTGGATGAGGAAAGTGAATGTACTATAGTGGATGTTATAGTGAATGGCAAATGGCAAAAGTAGTGGAAAGGCAAGTGATGAGGATGATGAAAAGAGTTTGCAGAGGGATATATATATATAGGTTAAGTGAGTGGGCAAAATCTTGGTGGATGGAATACAATGTGGGGAAATGTAAGGTTATGCACTTTGGCAGGAAGAGCAGAGGTGCTGAATATTATTTAACTGGCGAAAAATAACAGAAACTGATGTATCAGAGGCATTTGGGAGTCCTCAATGAATCATAAAAATCACATTCAAGTTCAGTGTGTCTTGAGAAGGTAAATAGAATGTTGATCTTCATCATAAAAGGAATGGAGTACAAAAATAGAAAAGCTTTGCCAACAGTATACAAAGCACAAGTCAGACCACACTGGAATTTTGAACAGTTTTGGTGCTCTTATCCAAGGACAGATATATTGGAATTGGATTCAGTCCAGAGAAGGTTAACTTGGCTAATAGGTATGGAGGGACTGTTTTATGAGGAGAGATTGAGTATATTGGGCCTGTAATCATTGAAATATAGAAGAAAGGGAGGAGACGTTATTGAAGCATGCAAGATTCTTAGGGGACTTGACAGGTTAGATGCAGAAAAGCTGTTTTCCCTAGTGGGAGAGTCTAGGACCAAAGGGCGTAATCTCAGAATAAGGAGCCAAGCATTAAAGACAGACAAATTTCTTCTCTGAGCAGTGAATCTGTGGAATTATTTACCACAGACGGCTGTTGAGGCTGGGTTATTAAATATATTCAAGGCTAATATATACAGATTTTTAATCAGTAAAAGAATTAATCATTAAGGGGAAAAGGCAGAGAATTGGAGTTGAGGATTTTCAGATTGGACTTGAACTCGTTGAATGGCAGAACAGACTCAATGGACTGAATGGCCTACTTCTCTCACGTCTTATTACCTTGTGTATTCATTCAGTAACACTCTTATAAAGTAGGCCTTTTATAGTTGCTGTGCATTCCAGCAGATTATTGTTTTCCTATGACTTGACACTGGAATTATGTTCATCTTTGTTCGTGTTTCTGCTGCTGGTATACCTCCAAACTGTTGTTTAGCACAGGAGAGATCCAGTGCTGATGACCATATTTCCAAGGAGTGATATTTTGATTATCAAACAGTTTTAGAAGTTGGAACAATATGATTTGATTTAGTATTACCGTTAAGAAGATATGCATTACATTACCCATAATTACTTCCACTCTCAACTTTCCTTCTGATTTGTAAAGTGAAGGTAATATAAACAATTTGTCTAAAGTTGAACTTGAAATCTTTCTTCCTGTTAAGTGATGCCTCTATTTTAAAATTCTTATCATTGTTTTCCAATCCTACCAGGACTCCAGACCTTACCAATCTCTAATCTTCATTAGTTCCACAAATCTCTGGGATATCAGTACTCATA